AGGGCTGGGGGGGGAGGGGGGGGGGCGCTCATCTCATCAAGACTGATGCTCGGCATATAAAAAGTGCTTCAACTCTGTTAGTGATACTGTACGCAACCGTCTGGTTCTGTAGCTCTATAGATATCTGTGTATATCATCTGATAGCAAAATACTGGATACAAAATACTCACTACTGCTACACCAGCACTAGACTGAACGAGGAATCCACGCATCATTAAAGTCATCCTGTTTGCCTGAAATCCTGATGTGACTGTGTTTGCCTTTTCAGTGTGAAATTGTGTGACTAAAGAAAAATATAAATCTCTCCTCCAAAAAGGGGCGGGGGTGCACTTTCCAAAATGGCCTGGTCTCACGCCGTACGAAATGAACAAACGAAAAAAAAAGAAAACAAAAAATAATGAAGATAATATGAAAAAGAAGCATAATCACAGATCACGTTAATGATTTTTTTTTCCTTTTGAGAGGATAATAATAGCGATAATAAAATCGTAATGCTGTGTCGTTACAAAAAAAAAACATGACAGAAACCCTTTAGACGAATGCAAACGCGACATCTAGTGGAGACATGAGAAGCCTGCACTTTGGCAATAATAGGAAAAAAAAATAGACAAAGATATCAGAAGCTTCATTATGACACTAATCAGAAACACAAAAATGAGCCGAAGCCACCGACGATAATCCCGGTGGCCACGGCTCGACTTTGCTACATGTCTGTCTAAGCATTACAAGAACTGGAGATGATTAAAAAAAAACAAAACAAATTAAAATAAAAGAAATTTGGTTACATGTTTGAAACAACAAATGATACCTGCAAATGCATGGACTGATGAGCTACAGGTTCCCAACAGCTGTAAGAGAAATACTTAAAGGATTATTGAGATAAGGAATGCTGGCCTTAATCATACAATCTAACGTACATCCATTAAAAAAACATGCTACAAGGAAAAAAATTAGTATATAACTACACTTGTCTCTTAATCTTTAAACAATAAATAAATGAAGATTGCACTGTAATTGGCATGTAAAGTACTGTATGCAAATATATAGTATAAATAAAAACCTAGAAAAGAACTCTACCTTAACTTTCCCATCAACTTTGGCAAAGGTGTTTTTTTTTTTCTTTTTGAGCTAGTAAACCACTTTGCTTACTGACGTACAGGAGCAAGGCACAGCATGGACAGAGAGGACGAGATACAGCATCAGACGGGAGGAGAGAGAGCAGGAGGAAGGAGCAGGTGCAGGAGGAGGAGGAGGAGGATGAGAGCGAAGGGGATGACAGGATGATATCTCCCCTCTGTAAGGTCTTTTCCCTGAGGTACATTAACAGGCTGCCAATCAGAACTGAGCAACACCCCACCCCCACCCCCACCCCGCCCCCGTACTGGGAGCACCATGCTTTCACCGCCTGTTGGTAGTGGCTGAGTAACGTAACATGAAGGTCAGAGTGACTTCTTTGGATCATCAGGGGATTTGTGTGTATCGTTGTACCTTGGCTTTTTGTTTCGCAGTTTTGGGGGGTCGGGGAGAGGGGGGGGTTGCGAGGAGGAGGTTGTCATGTATGTGTGTGTGTGTGTGTGTGTCAGAATGCCCTGTTCTGCTGTCGAGCTGAGTTCTGTGAAAGGCTGCTGGTGTGGTTTTTGGTGAGTGAACATTATTTCAAGTCCCCAGAGAACACGTCCCTTTGAGGGGAGAGACCACGTACTGGCTACTGCTCTGATTACATGTCAATAAAGCACCGTTTAAAAAAGACAGAGAGACAGAGAGAAATGTAGAGAGACTGAAAGATGGTGTGGATCTGTGAGAGCGAAGGGGGAAAAAGAAAAAAAAAAAAAAGTGAGAGCAAAGGGGGGAGAAAAAAAAAAAAAAAAAAAAAAAGCGAGGCAGCCAAAGCCACAAGGCAGAACATGAAGAACAGGAACACACTGAGAATGGTTGAAATGGGTTGACTCACAGAGCAGTGGGGGGGAGGGGGAGGCTCTAGAACAGCGCTGGTGCTCTGGCTGCGGGACAGATGGGTTCATGTCAAAGGGTAAAGCTCAAGGTAACTCCTAATGGCTTTCCTGGTTAACGCAAACACACACAGACGGAGCTCTGAGAAAGGCAGCTAGCAGGCTAGCAGGCTAGCTGGCTGGCTGTTAGCACCTCTGGGTCTGCGACGCTACTGGCACATTGCTGCTAAAGCCACAGTTTTGTTTGAAGAAGTCAGTCAGTTCTTCGACACGCAGCGATGTTGACAGAGGTTACAAAATCAAGTGGAACGGAACATAATCCAACATCGACCAAATTATCCAAGTGTTTGTTACCCTAGCATGGCTAACAGGAGGCTCACCAATGGGAGTAGATGTTTGACTTGGATTTTGTCCATTTTCTACTGCTCCAAATATCACTGCAGTGCAACATGAACCACATTATGACTAGATACGACTGAGGGAAACCCAAGTATATGACGTTCCCACGGACTGAAGGTGAAAGACAGCAGGAACACACACTGGCTTATGTTTCACAGATGGTCAAAATGCCCCCTCCCCCCACCCAAAAAACCAAAAAAAAAAAACTGTAATTGTCGCTACATGAAGCTGCACCACAAGAGACAATCGGATACAAAACATGCCTTTTGAAGGACTTGAAACTTTGTTTTTTTTCTTCAAGGAGAGGAGGTGGAATACATGTGTCTGAACCTTCCGTTTGCTTTGTAACAGTCTCACACTCTCAGCAAAAGCAACTTGGACTATGTTGGATCAAATTCCTTCTTTACACTGACACCACTCGGTCACCACAAAAAAAAAAAAACTGCCTGCGTGTAACAAACTGACGGATATCTCCCGAGAGAAACAGTTTTTGAGATGGTACAGTTGGGAAGGGCACGGTCCTTCCTGGTAAGTTGCAGCCCATCACGATCCAAGCACAGGCTTTACCTACAGTGTAAAAGCCTGAGTACTTTATTCACGGCCTCAGATTTGAATACCTACAAGTGTTCATTCACCTACTGATTCAGGATCAGCGATTTCAGGGCTCCTTCAAAGAGTTGCACGAGCTACTGAACTGACCTCAGAGCTGCTGCTGCTGTGAGCACCTGGAGTAAACTCCACCAATTTTACACTGCACTTCAGACCTTACATTGCCATCACTTATATTACATCACTTCTAGAGCATCATAGATATTTGCTATAATATATATATATTCATACTGTGTATATATATATATATTAGATTACTGGTTTTCCATTCTTTCTTAGATATAATAAAATCACAGGATAGCAGCATCTTACACCACACACATGGATTGCATCGCTTTGGTAGCTGAACGAGTGAGTGAGTGATTGACTGTTAGAAAGAAGCTGAGTGGATTAAAGTGATTGCCTTCTTCGGTGGAAATGTGTGTTTTTTTGTTTGTTTTTTTCTCATTGTCATTGCATGAGTGTTTGTAACTGTAAATGTATGCATGTGTGCATCAGTCTATATTGTAATAGTGGATGCAGGTTGAACAAATTGACTGACAACCTGTAGAGAAGTAACTGAATTAACTGAATAATGATAACAATAATAAACAATAATAATTATATGGTACGAACGGCGAGAGCGTTGAAGGCATACATTGGAATATGGCTGACTGGATAATGACTGCAGCAAAAAACCCGAACAACAACAACAACAAAAAAATAACTTTGAAATTCCAAGGAAAAAAATATCGTAAGGCAATGACTTTTAAGAAATATACACGAGCTCTAATCAAATATGTTTTAAAAAGATAGAAAAAAAAAAAAAAAAGGAAACATGCAAGTCAGTCTGAGGAGCATCTGCTTTGCTCACAGCTATTTTTAAGGCTTGATTATCAGTTTGTTTTTTTTCAGATTCTGTGGAGGTGCAGCTAAGACTAGGCTTCCTTCCACAGAGATCCTCAAGTGAAACAATGGACAATGAGACAGAGACGACAGAAACGTAGAGAGAAATGAGACCGAACCGAGTGAAGGCAGAAGACGACAGGAATGAAGCCTGAATCTAAACTCTGAATTAAAAAAAAAAACAAAACATACAAAGCCGTAGAAGTACATCTCAAGTGTTTTTGATTTCATTCTGTTCTTTCATAGAAGATTTTTCTTTTAAAAAGTTTCTCTGTGATTTAGCTTTTTTCTCTTTCTATCCTTTTCTTTTTAGTTAAATTCCCTCACTTCATGAAGAAGTACTGCAGCAGGCAGGCGATGAGGATGGAGAAGCCTGCAAACGCGCACACAATCAGTGCCGCGAAGCGCTCGTCGCTGGAGATCAGGCCCGTCCCTTTGCCACCGTCCACGGGGCACAGATCGCCCGAGGAAGCAGACTCCTGCCGACGCAGCGTGAACAGAGATGAAGGGCTGAGCGGTCCGCAGAGTTCCTGGCATGTGTCCTGGCAGCGGCGGCAGGCACCCACGCGGAACCGATAGTCTGTGTTGCTCTGGAGGCCGGAGATCTGGAAAGCACCATCCTCTCCCTTAAAAACCTGTGAAGAAAAAAATGGATTCAAATAATCTACAAATGCAACAGTGATGAACACAAACCAACTGATGTTGCTTTGTGTTTGAAACCTTATTTTGATATTTTTCATTATGCAGGTTTGTTCTGTCTCTAAATGTTTGCACCAACATCAAAGATATATTTATTTTCATCATTCAACATTCAGTCTGCAGGGTTCAACAGTAGACAGAGTAGATACACCTCAGATATACATAAAGTATACAGTAGATATACTACAGTATAGTATATGTATACCATGGTCCAAATGCATAAATGGAGGTGCAGTACTACTGGCAGCTGGCTTGTGTACGCACTAAGAAATGAAGTAAAAAAAATACATTTTCCATCTACATACTAATGTGTACCACCAGTCTTTCACTTCAATCACCCAGTAATTGAATAAGAGTAAATGGACTGTGTGATGAATACATTTCTGTCTGAAGTCTGCAGTTTTACTCAAGGTAGAATAGAATATTGCTGCTCCTGCAGAATTTCTAGAGATGCATTGATTCCCAATGCAGGTATGAGAAAATTAAATCAAGATGCATTCAATATACAAGCAAAATGTGTTTGTCAGAGACTTCACTCTCACTGCAAAAACAACTTTCTGCAATCAGAAAATTATCCCAGCATTTGCCAGTTGTGATTTCCATAAAAATCACTATAAATGACCTGTGTGAAAAAGGGCTTCAGCTCCTGACGCTGTCCTCATACAACCGGTGTATTGGTGTGTGTGTGTGTGTGAAAGCGTCGACGTTTGTTTGGGACACACACACCTGTTTGTATTCTGATTCACGTCCCACCAGCACCTGGAGCACATAGCTCAAAGGATCCCCTCTCATTGGTGGGATGGTCTCCCATGTGATCTCACACGTGTTGCCCTCCAGCTGGTGCACTTTGGGAGCTGCCAAGAAAACAAATAACCAGAATGTGACACAGTATCCATCATAGATCTGGGTTTCATATTTTATGTTTGTACCGTTGGCCATGACAGAAGATGAATAGAAAGAGTGGGGATGCATTCCATTCATCTGGTGCTTTTGGGCTATTTCGTTATTATATTTGTTTAGTTCAAAAATGATCAGCCACTAATGTCAGTCACTATAATAATAATAATAATAATAATAATAATAATTGTACATAAATGTTGATGACTATTCCTGGTCAAATACAAGGTTAAATTAAAATAATAATAAAAAAACCCAACAAACTATAGTTAGCACGTCCACCACAGTAGGTTGAAAACAAAAGAACAAAACAAACCATTAAAAGACAATAACAGAGTACATGAAACAAAATGGTCAAGGTTAAAAATAGACGGTGAATTGTAACAGGCAGAAAGGAAGCTTCAACAAGCAGGACCTGAGAGTGGATTTGAAGAGCACTAGTGAAGTGAAGTCTTAAAAAGGTCAATTTTACTGTTGTACAAAGAACGTCAACGTTTGAAAATCCAGCACCACTGATCATCAAGCCTATGCGATGACTCGTACTTCTGCTCTCCAGCTAAATCAACAGTCTGCTGCACCTTCACAGCCTCACAGTAAACACCATGATCAGGTGAGTGGAGCCGAGGGTCTTCACTGGAGCAGCAACCACTTAAGTTGACAGTGAAGATCACGGCTTTTGACCATGAGCTCAGTGAACACAACACAACATACCAATCCAGATCGAGGTCTAGATCACGTAAAATGGGTTTTCTGGTGCAGTCTACCTTTGAGGGCAGGTGGTACGGACTTGGTGGTGCAGAAGGTGTGGGTGTCAGAGAACGGGCCTTCTCCAGCATCACTGATGGCCTGTATTCTGAAGCTGTAACCGCTGGACTCAGTTAGTCTCTGGACCTTGTAGGTGTGGCTGGGCCCACGGTAGATGGTCACAAACCTGGACAACCAAGAGATTCAGGCAGAAAGAGTTCAGTGAAATTCTAAAACAAGAAACATGAAGTTAGACGGATGGACAGACGGATGGATGGATGATGGATGGAGATAAATAGATATATAGATACTTACTACTCCTTACTTGGAGTAAATGGTTAACTTGAGATCTGTCTATCAGCGTAGTTATCCCCGACAAAGGCCGATTTTGACTATGAACCCTTCTGTCCCTCTGACTGCACACCTCGTCACTCTTGTACTGCAGGGGCTTATTCAAAAAGTTCTAAAAAAGGTGACGTGACACTATAAAGTTTTTTATCCTCACCGGTGACTAATTCTAAAGCAGTGGAATTTCCCAGTTTTTTTAATTTGTCTTAAAAGCTTCTGAAAAGCTTCTTTTCTTTTCACTCTTGAGGTTAAGGGTCACGCTGTTGTTTTTGATTCACAAGAATTAACATTGACGTTAAAAGTACCATCATACTGTGTGTTTAGTGAAGGACGTTTTGGTCTGAAAAGGTTTAACTAATTCGCCCAAAATGAAGTGTTTTTAATTAGTTTGATAGCAGATTAATTGAGAAACTCAGCAGGAGCAAAATAATTGAGAAGTGGAGAAACGTGAGGGCAAAAGAGCTCGTGAGCTGAGGAGCAGCGCTGTAACTGCAGGGACGAATTGATTGTAGAAAAGAGAGCAATTATACCTAAGCTTTTCTTCTGGAGTTGTTTCTCCTGCTGCAGTGATGTTTCAAAAAAATCAATTTTTCACAGAAGGTTAGAGCTGTTTGTACCTCACCACAATGCCCATGTTGCCATGACACCGTTGCATGGTAATGAGGTGAGCACCGTTTCTCCTTTTTTCATTTTCAAAATGAAAAAAAAAAAAAAAAACACACACAAAAACAAAACACAAACACTTGTTGCGCTTGGAAAGGGCAACAAGTGAGTAAAGAAAACAAAGACTGATGAAAGTGAGAGAGCGGCCGGAGCAGCAGCAGCACGTCTGCGCTCAGGGAGATAAGGAAGGACAAACGGAGGATCAGAAGAGACGGAGGTGAAACGGGGTTTAATATTGTGCTGCTGTGGCGTCTATTTATCTTTGGTTGCTCCAATAACACAGAGCGAGAGCAGA